AACACTCACAAACGCACGCACTCAGCCCACCCCCCCGCCGTTTGCACCCACACCAGCTCCCCCTCCTCCGTCCTCACCTTCCTCTGACGCGTCTCATCGACGAGGCGCTTGCCGGCATCAGGGCACCTGCAGGGTGAAACAAAATACTGAAGTTTAGTTTCTTTCTACTAAGAAGTGAGTTCACGCTCCGTTCCAGCATGCTGGTTCCAAGGCACACGTTCCTCAGAAAGAATTCCCTGTGATGCTTCCGTTGGATCCTTTCTGGGGACAGGATTTATTTGGTCCAGTTACGGCCCATTTAAAACCGTGATTGGTTTGTCATTTCAGTAGCCTGAAATAATACTCCGAGTCCACAATTGTGTTGTTTGTTTTTTTAATTTGTTTCCTGATAACTGTTTTTATACTAATGAATGTGTATTTTTTCCGGGAAGGAAAAAAAAAACAGCTCAGGAATAGTATATCATCTGATGACAGAATATTTGTTGTTGATTTTCACAGCACTGCTAATTTTCTGCATCAAGCCAGCTCACAATGTACGAAAGCTCTTTGAGAAGTTATAATGTCTTAAACATTTATAGGAGGCCTAAGGGTATTAACTTACTGTAATTTTCTGAAGATTCATTATCCAAAATCTTAATTCATTATAGCAACTCTTATGAAAAACCTATAGAACCAGTGTTTTCTCTTATTTTCTTATTTGCACAGAATGAGGGATTTATTGTTCTTTTTAATTTGTTTCATGTGGTGCTTTTGAGTACATTTCATAGAGGGCTGTTATTGAATTTCTGTGACTGTCATTATATATCCATACAACCTTTCGGAACTAATATTCTGGGTTTCCCAGTTCTGTAATCTACTTCAAATTTAAGGATTGACATAATTAGTTTCTTCAAAGTTATAACCAGAACGCGTGCGACAACACTGCAGATACCCACCAAGACCAAGGATTAGGATGGGAAACAGAAAACAGTTTTAAAAATGATGGCAGCACATGCTTTTATTCTTTATTAAGTTAGATTTACCACTCGGAATCTTATTGCTCTTTGTATGTTTATTGCCTTGTCTGGTTTTCTTATCTGCCTTTCCCTTTTAAAACCAGATATAAGATCCTTTAGACTACCTGCATATGGACAGTTGCTTGGTAGATAAGAAGACGGAGGGTGTATTGGGTCATCGGAGCATTTATGTACATCACCAAATGCTCTTCTCTAAAAGAGAAGAGCGTCATCGCAGTAAAATAAGGAGAGAAAAAACAAATTATTGTTTCAAAACAAACCGATTAAAGCAGGTTTTTAGGAGCATGCCTATGAAGTCTGTCTACTGCAGCCATTTTATACACTTCTGACAACTTCCTGCATTTCAGGAGTTAGATGGATGGTTAAAAATAATTAACTGAGGGAAGGGGGGTCTTGAGCCACACCCAGTGATGCTCAGGGCTTGCTTACTCCTAGATCTGTGCGCAGGGGTCCCTCCTGACAGGGCTCGGGGGACCATATGCGGTGCTCGGGATTGAACTGGAGTCGGTCACCTGCAAAGCAAGTGCCTTCCTCTCTTTCTGGATTTAAAAACAGGTCAACTTCTCAGTTAACACTATTTAATAGAAATGGAGAGAATTTGCTTTTGTACCGAGAAGTTTTGAATCCTCGTGCCTTTAACGAATGCCTTGTCTGACCATGTTCAGGGTGTATTGATTGAATAATTAGGCAAAGATTTAAAAGTAGATACAGATTCCAAGGTTATACTTCCTTACTTCCTTTGAACTGTCACGGATGAACTAGAATTAACGACAAATGTGCTTTTTTGCTTTCCTCTTTATTCATGGAACAAAGATGGCTGGAAGTCGGGCAGGGGAGAGGAAGCTGAGGGAGTTTGAAGTCCAGTGGAAGAGAAGAAAAAGAAAACTGGCTTCCAGCGTGCGACCTCCAGTCTGGAGAGATGCTGATGCAAGCCCCAAGCATCCATTCCGTTTCTTTGTCCCCTTTGGAGAAGGGCCTGATACTTCTTACACTTCAGCTTATTTTTCACTATGATCAGTTATTTTAATTGACTGTAAACTAAAGGATTAGGGATCTAAGAAGTGAAAAGGAGTTTCATCTCTTCTTGCCTTTGCCTGGGGAGCTGGGGCGGTGGGCGGGGCTGACACGTGGAGGCCTGAGAACAGAACGGGGGCCCTCTGCCCCATCCCCTGCCCGCACCCATTCACGAATGCCTGAGATCCTCCTTAAAACAGGGGGCTGTGCTGTCATTTCTTCTTTCTACCATAAATATGGCTTCCGGCACAATGATTGTTTTAGAGAATATTGAAAACCCCTCAATAGTGTTAGTTTTTCCTCCTTCGGTAGGAGACATTCATGGACCTTTATTTTACGATAAACAATGTGGTAAATACTTCCTCTCCGAACAGACTGTCTCTCTCCTCTCCCCACCCCACCTCCAATTAGGTATGTCTTTGCGATCATTAAATTGCAAATAATTGAAGACATTTTCATATGATCTGCATATTCTCTGAATGATAAGGGTGGCGTGGAAAATGTGAGACTTTTTTTTTTAAATGCAGTAATCATACGTTGATTTTAAATAACCCTGTCACTTGTGAAAACAAATCAGATTGTTGCTCTTAATGAGCTTTTCAATTTACTATTCAGTAGATCAGATAAGTGGATTTAAGAGGTAATGATCCTGTTTAGTACTCAAGCTTGACAGTCCGGATCCTAGTCCGGAGAGAAATCCCTGGGGACAGGCGCGTTGACACAGCCTTGGATGGGATAATGGGAATCAGAGCTAATGGATGATAAAAGGAACGGGGCGAGTTACAAGGCTAAGTGTGGATTAGCGGCCTTCCGTGTGTCCATGTTGACTGTCTCTGCCTGTGCCTTAGTGGCTCAGCGCTGAGGCGCCCAGACACTGTTTTGACAGCCGAGCACAACACTTGGCTTCCTCTTCCCTGGATGTCAGGGACACGGCAGAAAACTTCCTGTCAGAACTGTCACTTGAAATAGAGCAAAATAAGATAATTTTTTTAAATGTTCAAGTGTCTTAAATAAGTTAAAGTCGTGTTTGAGGGGCGGGTGGAATTCTATTTTGAGAACTCCACGTGGTGGGAGTAAGAATCAGATGAATTCTGAGCAGCTCTGCCATTCGAAATACAGTCCCCGTGAAGCCATGAAAGGGGAGAATCCGATCTTACAGGACACCAGCATAAGCAGGGGACGGGACTCCCCCAAGAAATGCAAAGTGAGGGGCTGAAGCGATAGCACAATGGGGAGGGCGTTTGCCTTGCATGCGGTCAACCGGGGTTTGATTCCCAGCATCCCATAGGGTCCCCTGAGCACTGCCAGGAGTAACTCCTGAGTGCATGAGCCAGGAGTAACCCCTGTGCATCACCGGGTGTGACCCAAAAAGCAAAAGAAAAGGAAGGAAGGAAGGAAGGAAGGAAGGAAGGAAGGAAGGAAGGAAGGAAGGAGAAACAGCAGCATCAGGAAGGAAGGAAGGAAGGAAGGAAGGAAGGAAGGAAGGAAGGAAGGAAGGAAGGAAGGAAGGAGAAACAAGAGAAAGAAAGAAAGAAAGAAAGAAAGAAAGAAAGAAAGAAAGAAAGAAAAGAAAGACAGACAGACAACAGCGTCAGCCCGCATTGTTGTCGGGGGGGGGGGGTCTCTCAGGCCCCTTGTGTGAGCCCAGTGAAGGGACAGGTGGACGCAGGGTGGGGCTGGGGTGCCCTGAACCACCCCAGTAGCAGGGAGGAGAGAGGAGAGAGCCATTCCTACCTCCCTCATCCTCCAATGTGGCCTGGGAGACCGGATCCTGGGGGGGCACCTTCCGGAAGATTCTCTCTCCCCAGACGTAGTCGAGATGGGCTCCGAGACCGCGCCGGAAGGGGCAGCTCTCTGGGTTGCTCCAACTCGGCCTTCCTTTCCCTTGCCCTGTCGGCCTGTTCCCTTCCAGCTTCTGTTTCACTTCCCCAGCAGGAGGAGCAAACTGGGATCCTCCAACACACGCTTCTAGTTTTAAGAATTTTTTAAAGAAAAAAAAAGAATTTTTGTTTTTGTTTAGTCCGAATATAAGGCCTCTGGAAGAAGTCGCTTTCTCCCCCTGACCAACCCTCCGACCCCGGGTCTGCCTTTGCCACCTGAACGTCCGCACACCCGTGTCTGTGTGTGACGGGCACGAGGCAGGCAGAGAGCCTCGGGCACGGTCCCAGGGGACGTGGTGGCACAAGAGAAACCCCGGACAGCTGGCGCCTGGCAGGAGAGCCTGGCCCCGCACCAGGGCGTCGGGAGTGTAGTGGTGTCACCTCCCAGCCCCGCCAGGCTACCGGGGAAGAGTCCATTGGCTGCCCGGGCCACTGTCCCACTCCAGTGCGTGTTTATAAGCTCACCGTGGCGGGGGCCAGGCTGAAGCATCGCGCCCCAAACTTTGCGGCCAGCGCTCACCCACTGGAAGCCTGGCGGGCCCCGGGCCGCTGTGTTCAGCACAGGCTCTCCAGGGCCGGGATTTCAGCAGGAAAAGTAAGATTAACCGCTTACTTGAGGTACTCGGGGATCATTTTGAAACATTCTGAACTTCCTTTTAAAAAAAATTTTTTTTTAAATAACTGCCTAATACAACCAGAAATTCTTGGGCGGTGCACCAGAAAGATGGGGCATTTTTAAAATGGAGACTCCCATCTTTGAGGAAGGGATAGTTGACCACTTGGAGGAAAAGGGAAAAACTAACAGCAAAAGATGAGTGTCGGATGTGAGTATATGAGTGTGTCTCTGGGGTGTGGGGGTGCGTGTATTTCAAAATAATAGGTGTTCCTGGGAAGACAGAGAGGGGAGATATTTTTAATTACCATTCAAAATTTAAATTCCCCCCACCACTTAAATTCTTCCTTTACTCGCCCACTCTGTTCTTCATTGTGGAAATAACCGTGCATTTAATCTTACTTTGTTTAATTTGAATGGTGTTTTGAGAATATATGTTCATGGCAAAGGCCTTAACAACTAAATGTTTTCATGCAGGTATATGCCCGTATGTCAGAAGTCTTAGGAATAACAGATGACAACCATGTTCTAGAAACATTCATGACAAAAATGTGAGTTTTTGCTTTAGTTCTCTAGTTTTTCTTCTATTGTCGCTTTAAATCGTAGAGAGCTTTTCTTACTGGCTTGAAATCTCTCCGTGACATCCAATTTAATAAGGGAGCTAAAATCATGCTTTAATTCTCAGAGTAGCGACACTGTTCTTAACTAAAACTTAAACCTGCTTAAAAGCCCCGGCCCCAAAGACATGGGGACTTGAATCTGTACAGCTCCGGTGTGCAGCCCCAAAACACAATTTAAAGAAGTCACTGAATAGTCCCTCAGCTGGGCAGCATTTTCTTAAACCGAACAGAAACTAACTCATTTCAAAAGCCAACTGAAGGGACTATTGCGAACCGAGATCCCTGGGAGAGTTTGGGGTGCCTTTCGGAACCCACATCTGCCTGGAAGGCAGCAAACTGCCCTTCCATCGATTATCCTATGCCGTTTCAGCAGAATCGGCTTGTTTCTGGCTGAAGACCTAAGTTTGCACACAGATTAATGCGCGTGTGTCCCCCTGGCCGCCCACTCCATCTGCCCAAGAAAAGACCACCGTGTCCTGCTCGCAGAGAGCAATGTGGGATAAATAATCAGGCCCCTCAGAAGCAGGCCGGGCAGCTCACATTGGCAGTTCCTGCCTGGGCATGGACCGTGAGCCCGCTCTGACGCCCGGACTCCCGTTGGTGTGCCCTCATCATCCGTTCGCTCCAGCCGCACGCTTGGCAGCTTCTTATTTTCTAAGACGGGATTTATAGGGTTCGATGCCATTGGGAGGGAAGCCTTTCATTGTCCATCGATTGTTTATGATTTGGGAGGTGCCGTGAAAGCAACAGAATGGAAAATATTCTCTTTAAGTTGAACTTACTTTCCACGTCAGGAGGTGTTTGTGATTTGAATCGTCTCTCACACAGATGTGTGTGTATTAACATTCTCCCTACATAAACAGACACTCACGAGAACTTTTTGCTTTTATACGTAGCGTTACAAACCTCAAGTACGGGGCAAGATGTGAGCCTATAATTTCAAGAACTCTGCAGTTCCTAAATGACCTTTCTGTCGGATATCCTTTTAACGATACATCTGACCGTGCATATCAGTAACGTAACCAACACATTCTTTTGGCAGGGTATTTCCTGTATTTATAATTTTTGCAAGTTTTTTTTAAGTCTTTCATTTAGGTCTATCCACAATTGTGTGTTTTTGAAAGACGTATCGCTCCATTCGACGAAGCTCTTATTCACGGTCACAGTTTAATTTATACATCTATCTAAATTCCTAACTAGTTAAAGTTATATTTACGCCCACCCTGGTTAATAAGTGCTTACATAAGAAATGGTGCGACCATGTATTTTTTCCAGTCCATGAGTTTGGGTAACTGTCAGTGAGTTCTTAAAAAAACAAACTTGTAACTAATTTTAAGAGAGGTTCTTAATACCTTAAAGGTGAATCACAAGAATAAATCTCTCCTCCATATTCTTCAGTTGTAGAGAGTATCATTTTCATTCATTAGGAAGCACCGTGCCCCGGTAATAGGAAGAAAACTATACATTTTTTTGACCATTCCATTTGGCTCCACCAAGTCAACATCTATCCTAATTGAAGATTTCCCACATCTATTACATATGTAATGATTGCATCCTTTCGAAGATTCTCCTAAAATCTAAAATGAGGAACCCTATCTTTTGTTAGATTCTATTTGATAACATTCCTACAAGTGAGAGAGAAATATGTATATTATTTTTAAAATGCTAGCCATCAGATACATCGGAGCCAGTGAAAAATAAGTGTTGGCCACATTACCCGTGGGGCTGCGTCATTTCTTTCCAAATGAGGAGACCCTCCCCTGGAAACGGCAGTACCAAATGGCCACCTCCAATGTAGGTTCACTCCAAGAATATGCTTGTATTAGTTAAGTTTAAAATTGTGTTCCTGGGCAAACCATAAAAGATTTCCAAAGTATTAGACACCCACTTTTGTGCTGGAATTTAATATGCAACTTTTTATTGGAAAATAATCGTCCTTGTCTGGCAAAATCCACCATGCAATATTTCTGTTAGTGGGTATAATGCAATAAAGACAGGGAGGGCTATTTATCACTACAAATTTTGAGGATTTCAGGATTCTTTTTATTATTTTAATATATTTCTTTGATATTAAATCAGAAAAATGATAAATTACACCTGTCTAGGCTGTTTTTCCTTTTTACTGGAAAGTGATGTACAACCCAATTCCAGTGGTCATTTTGGCTCTTTAAGATATGTATTTTTTCTTATTAAAAAAAAACCCTCAACCTGTATTTTTTTAATAATAATGCTGAAATACTCTTTATTTCTAACATATGAAGTGGTTTATAAGTACTTCCTAGTATGGCAAACTCTGGCCTTTTCACAAAGAATTACTCCGAGAGCGTTTTACCTGGAAAGAAGCTTATGTTATCTTATAGCACATAGCTATTGTTTAGATTTACCCTATATTTTAGGTTGAAATTGAAACCTAATGTAAGATTAATTTGATCTTTATTCTTTTTGTATAATTTGCATAATGCCTAATTTATTTGTATCTGCTATTTAAGACCCTTTTCCTGTCACCTCATCTCTTTTATATTTTCTTTAATCCTGAAATGGTAATCTTTTATTTTAAGGACTGTTTATTCCTTTTGAGCGCATCCTCTTGAAGTTAATAAGAAAATCATATTTTTAGAAAACTTATTAGATAAAAGTTTTAAAGCTATAATATTTTAAACCGAGGGATACAAATGGTTTCAACTTGAACACATTGATTTATATTTTTTAACAATTATTTCAGGTTTGCATATTTAGAAATATATATTAGCTCAATTTGATTTCAGTGCTCAGTTATTTGAATTATAAATCATTATGTCCCTTCTAGCTGATCAGTCATGAAATATCCTTGAATTCATTTACATAATGGAATATTTGAGTAGTGTATCTATTTTAGTTACCTAATGCATGTTTTGTTGTTTCCAATCGATTTCTTCATTATAATGTTTTTAAATGCTGATTTTAAAGCAATACATTATTTCGACGTTAAAAAATAACATGATACTCTTCAGCAGCATAAACTGTTGTGCAAGATTAAAAGCTAGTATCTGTTGACCCCTAATAATTCACCAGAAGCTCGGGTCCTTACTGAGTGCCACTGTCTTTCTGTAATTAGAAAGTACAAAAATTAAAAAAAAAACATATATTTTTTAAATATATGAGACCCTGCATTTGATTTTTTTTAAGCATGAAAAGGAAAACAGAGCAGATGCCTTGGGCAGCAAAGGCAGGTGCTTCTTGCATGCACCGAGATCTCTCCCCAAGACTATCTCTGTGCAGAGATGTGTCTCTGCGTCGTCCCCTCTGTACGCGTTCGAGGGGAAGGCTGCCTTCGGAGGCCCCGGGTTCTACTCGAGGCCTGTTGCATTTTACTCCCCGATTCCTGTTTGTCAAATTTAGAAGCTTTTTCATCAGGAAGACTATTGTAATTCTAACAGCCAGTGCTGGGAGAAAGTTTCCTTTCCCATCAGGCCCGTTACACAGGACGTTTAGCAAAGACGTCGCAGTAACATTTTAATATACTGTTTAATTTCCAAGGCTGAATCTCAAGGATCCCAGATCCTAAGGAGCCCTTCCTGTCTCACACGCACTCCCGGCCCACTCCCACACACCCCGCATCGTGCTTGGCCATCCTTCCTCCTCCTCTTTGAAATGTTTTCATCAGAAATTGTGGTTTCTCCCTAACTGGGGGAAACGGGGACAGAAGGAAATTGCTGGAAAGATGGGAAAGAGAAGGGAGTGGGGGGGCGGGGGTGGGTGGGCAGGGGACGTTCAGCTAATGACGCAAGCTGGGACGGCACAAGCAAGGGGCGTGTCACCCGGACTTTGTCCTGGGACAGATCATCAGTGGCTTTTCCTGCTGCCTTTTGCTCCTGGGTCAGATCTACAGCAGTGGCCTGCGTCTCCGATACAGGAATGTGAAGGCAGGTCTTACTTCCTGTTATGGAGGTTGCCCTCATCGCAAGATTTTGAGCACCCCCCAAATTCCCTTCTCTTCTAAATTAACTGGACGCCAGGAGAGAGTTCTGTGTTGATCCGTGCATATACCCAAACTCATCTTGCCCTGTGAATGCCGTTAGCATCGGCAATGCTTAGGACCGTTGGGCCCTCTGGTCCCTGGTCTTGCCGACCAGTACATTCACTTCCTCTCGTATTCATCCATTTCTCGGATTGCAGGGACTCGGGCCAGCATGATGGCTCCCAGGGCTGGACATCCTCCAGGCATGCTGTGGCCCCGTCCCCAGGCCCCAGGGGCACTGTTTGAGGAAGGCTGCGTTGCTGATTTTTTAAGCCTAACCCCATGCTCATCTCCCAGGGGTGGAGCTTATCCTCCTCCTGACCTCTTCCAGCCCACCAAATATTAACTGAGCATTTGCTCCATCCGGGGCGAAAGGATGAGCACCTAGTCCCAGACCTGGGTTCTAGACTTCCCTTCCCTCCCAGCTCACTCCTAAAGCATCAGGCCTGGGCCCGTGGCTTCACATGGGAACTCTTGGCTGCAAGTGTGGGGCCCTGGGTTGGCCCCTGGCAACCAAAACCGGTTGGTTAAAAAGGAGGCCGGGTCTAGTGTGTTATTTTCCGTCTCTTTCTGTTTTTGTTTTGTTTTTTGTTTGCTTTTTGGGTCACTCCTGGCGATGCACAGGGGTTACTCCTGACTCTGCACTCAGGAATTACTCCTGGAAGTGCTCAGGGGACCCTATGGGATGCTGGGAATCGAACCCGGGTTGGCCGCATGCAAGCCAAGCGCCCTACCCGCTGTGCTATTGCTCCAGCCTTTCTAACTCCAATGACATATTAATTTTCGGAAATTTGACACATTCACGTGACCAAGGGCGGGTGACACTTGACGTGACGACTGTACGGGTCTCTTCGCTCTGCGTCACTGAGACCCGGCCTAAATACAGACCTGGAAAGGCCATTTTCGACACGACCAAATACGGCGCGACCCAGAGCCCACCCCCCCACCCCCGCCTGGCACCCCGCTTCCCGCCCACTCGGGCTGCGGGTGGTCAGGGACCGGGAGCAACTGAGGGAGGACACAAAGGGAATTAGGGGTGAAGGATGGAAGGGAAATGGGGGATGTCTGTTACAGGAAATACTTAGTAATAAACGCAGTAATTCTGCTTTGGTGAAGCAGTATTAAAACATATTGCTTTATTCCAGGGACTACCGCCATCTCCAGATGGTTTGGAGAATGTTAAATAAAACGAGCTTCAGCACACATCCCTCAGGCGTGCTTCCATTAACATTTCTCATCAGAATATATGTTGATTTATTTCTTTGTTTTCGGTCTTTATCACCCATGGAAAAAGTCGTGCCATAATTTATCTGCTCTGTTTGCTTGTTTTCGTGCTGCAGTCACGTGTGTGAGGATCCTCACGCCAACCCCTCCTGTCTCCTGTTTCTTCAGACCCTCCCCATATTCTTTCTAGAATCTTGTCTGGTGGGGTCACCTACCCAGAGGACGGATCGTTTCTCTCTTTTTTTTCTTTCTCTTTTTTATTTTATTTTTTGGGGGGCGGGGGGGGGGCCTCGCCCAGCAGTGTTCAGGGCTTGCTTCTGGCTCTGTGCTCAGGGATCATTCCTGGTGGGGCTCAGGGCACCACGCGTGGTGCTGGGGATCCAACCCAGGCCAGCCACCTGCAAGGCAAGTGCCCTCCCTGCTGTCCCGTCACCCCGGCCTTCCCTCGTCTGACCGTTTCTGCTTGTCTTCCCTGCAAAGCCAGCCCTGCTCCTCGCTCCTGAGCTCGGAGTCAGATTCCTGGTGGGATCCCGAGTCCCGTAGCAGGACCAAACTTGCTGAGTTGCTGTAACTAATTTCCCGCCCCCCCAGGCGAGCACGGCCCACACCACACACTTGGGCGAGGGGACTCTAGTCCCTGTCCCCCGTTATCTCTCGCGGTTCCACCTCGGCTCTGGTCCCTGGCTCACGTTCCCTCTGGCCCGTAGTTACATCCCTCTCTCAGCCTCAATCTCTTTTGTCGGGAGGGCGGGTCACCTAGCAGGTAGGTCGACCAGGATACCGGGTAAATAGCCACAGCCCTAGCCACGGGCCTCTGCCATCTGGCAGGAGCAGACGAGGCCCCCGCCCACAGCACCTGTTCTCCTTCCTGTTCTGGAACCTTCTTCCTGAGTCCCGCGGCCTGCGTGCCCTCCTGTCCAGTGAGTGTGGCTCTGCCCTACACTTAGCTAAGAAATTACTAGAAGGCTGGAGCGATAGCCCAGCGGGTAGGGCGTTTGCCCTGCTTGCAGTGGTCTTGGGTTCAATTCCCCATATCCCGTATGGTCCCCTGAGCACTAAGGGGTAATTCCTAAGTGCAGAGCCAGGAGTAACCCTGAGCATCGCCGGGTGTGACCCAAAAAACGAAAAAAAAAAAGAAAGAAATTACTAAAGACTAGGACACCTTCCTTCCTTCCTCAACTGAATTTTTGTCGGGGTGACTCTTTGAAACGAGACCGTCGTAATACACTCGCCTGCGTGACTGAATCTTAACAGCTAACCCTCAGTGACCCAGTGTCTCACGCTTGCTGAGATGTGGCACAGGGTAAGGCTAGTGACTGCCAATCGGTGCCAGGCTTGGTGCGTCTGTGCTTCCCGCTGCCAGGCGGGGCTTAACCGCAGAAGCCGGACCATTCTCCCTCAGTCTCCCTCCTCTGCCAGAATCACTGTCCAGAGGACTCGGTGGCCCTCGGGTACAGCGCCTCCCGCTCTGCCCGCGGTCCTGTCAGGCCAGCACCACCACCGCGCTTACAGAGCAGATTACTGGCCCAGGAATTTCGCCCAGAGAACGGAGTTGGGAAAACTCCTCAATGGGTCCCTCCTAAGAGAACGGTTTCCCTGACGCCCAGTTCCCAAGCACCTAGAGCACTGCTGAACCTGCAGGTCTGGGCTGAGCTGGCAGAGGCTTCCTGGCAGTGACCCCACATCAGCCCCCAGCACCCACAGTCCCCAGAGCACTGCCCTGAGCTGCCCCTGGGCACCACTGGGAACGGTCCCCAAACCCGGTAGAACACATACATACATACAATCGATCACTCGCCCTCTGTATCCTCTTAAAGACAGATGGAGGGGCCAGGATTGTACAGCAGGGAGGGCATTTGCCTGGCATGCAGCTGGCCCAGGCTCAACTCCCCGACATCTCGTCACATCCCCCATGCACCGCCAGGAGTGATTCCTGAGCGCAGAGCCAGAAGTGACCCCTGAGCATCGCCAGGTGTAGCCCCCAAACCAAAAAAACTTCTTTAAATTTAAAAAACCAAGTAGCTGTGAGGCAACCTAGTGAAAAGCAGCTCGAGGAACCATTTTCAGGTCCCACGCGCCCCCTGCTAGATTCTCTTCCTCGCTGGGGTAGGCGTCGCCCCGCCAGTGGACCGACGTTACTGCATTGACCGGCGTGCATGGCGCAAGTTGGGTTGGCCTCAGGACTTTAGCGGCGCGGCCTACATAAAGCGCTCACACCCCGGTAAAATGGTGTGACTGATGACGGCCCTCATCTTAGGAAAGAATAAGATGGCAGGACAAAGAGCACAAATACATTTTCCTACCAACCCCCCCAAAAAAATCTCAGACCCTCTCAAGAGCCAAAGCTTGCTTTGGATTGAATTCCTATAAGGGAATATAAATATTCAAATTAAGGCTCATTCGTTTTCCTTATTGAAAAAGAGCAAAATTTCATCCATAATCGCCTTTTTTTTCTCGCTCTCTCTCTCTCTTTAGAATGTAATTAAAAGGCAGAGGACTGGCCTCAATACAAAGTGCACAGATGCACTTCTGCAGAAAATGTGTCTTTGGCAGAAGAGTCTTCCTGCGAATGTTGTGTTTATTGCTGCCATAAATATTCTCTTGTCAACACAGGACTTGCTGTTTATTAGCGGTACTGACAGGAAGGTCCCTATTAATGACAGCATTCTTATCACCCATAGACCCTGTCACTTTTGACATCGCAATTCTAAGAGACGGTCTGTGATAATCACTCAAGGTCCTCCTTCATTTATGGGTCCCCGTCCAACGGGTGGGCGGTGGGTCTGAGCAGGGGCTCCGCTCCCGCCCAGGGATTCCCACTGGCAAAAAGTAAAACAAATGAATGAACGAATCGCCAGATCTGCATCTCTAGGCCAGGGAAGACCAGCCGCCTCCCCACGAGCCCTGCCCAAAGCTCGCGGAGCCCTGGGCGACCGCGTGAGCCAGGGCCCAGGCCCACTACTGGGTGAGTCACGCAGACACCGCCTGGCATGTCGTGGCCGCTCGAGTCCCGGGAGTTCAGTCCGGAGCTGTGGACTGTCTCCCGAAAAGTTGTATTTCCTTCCTTCCTTCCTTCCTTCCTTCCTTCCTCCTTCCTTCCTCCTTCCTCCTTCCTTCCTTCCTTCCTTCATTCCTTCGTCCTTCCTTCCTTCCTTCCTTCCTTCCTCCTTCCTTCCTCTTTCCTCCTTCCTTCCTTTCTTCCTTCCTTCATTCCTTCATCCTTCCTTCCTTCCTTTTTTCCTTCACTCCATCGGTCCCTCCTTCAATCTTCCCTTTCTTTCTTCCTTCTTTCTTTCTCTCCTTATAACCCTTCCTACTTTCTCTCCTTCCTTTCTTCCATCTTTCTCTCCTTTCCTTCCTTCCTGCTCTCCTTCCTTCCTTCCCGTCCCTTTCTCTTCCTTCTTTCCTTCCTTCTTGTCTTTCTTCCATCTTTCTCTCCTTTCCTTCCTTCCTGCTCTCCTTCCTTCCTTCCATCCTTCCTACCTTCCTTTCCTTGCTTTTCCTTCTTCCTTCTTTCTTTCCTCCCTTCCTTCCTTCCTTCCTGTTTTCTTCTCTCCTTCCATTGGTCCTTCTTTCAATCTTCCCTTTCCTTTTTCCTTCTTTCTCTCATTATACCCATATTTCTCTCCTTATATTCTTCCTTCTTTCTCTCCTTCCTTTCTTCCATCATTCTCTCCTTCTTTCCTTCCTTCCTGCTCTCCTTCCTTCCTTCTTTCCTTCCCTTTCTCTTCCTTCTTTCCTTCCTTCCCTTCCCTTTCTCTTCCTTCTTTCCTTCCTTCCTTCTTTCCTCCTTTCCTTCCTTCCTTCCTTCCATTTTTCTTACCTTCCTTTCCTTTCTTTTCCTTCTTTCTTCCTTCCTCCCTCCATCCCTTCCTTCCTTCATTCCTTCCTCCTTCCTCCCTCCCTCCCTTCCTATTCCCCTCCCTCCCTCCCTTCCTTCCTTCCACAATCCTTCCCATATTGTGGGAATGTGAGAATTGTACCTTGCAGAAGGCAAACATTCTGCACATTTTCATCTTCTGCGTCTTTGTGTCCTTCCTTGCTTTTGGGCAGAGCCATTTTCCGTATCTGATCCCCACAGCCCAGCCTGTAGGGTCACTTGGTTTGTGATGTCAGCCTCCGTGGTCAGTAGGGGAGGCCAGGGCTTGGCGTGGCTGACAAGATAACACACTGATGCCTGCGGCTCGTTGCCACGGGCTCTGGTGCATTTTCTACGCTTTTACACTCATACCTGAGTGACTAAAGTTTTAGAATTGAAATTAAGTGCCTCTCTCTTGAGGCCATGTGCAGTCTTAGTTCTCTGGATGATGGGAAGGAAAGGATTTTTTTTTTTTCACAAAAACATGAATAGAACCAGAGATGATTGGGGTGGGGAGGAGGGCTCCCAAACACTTCAGAGACGTTACCCTGGGCCATGCTCAGGGAACCGTGCCGAGCCAGGAACCGAGCTCAGGGTCTCCACATGCATGGGGGAACCTCACTGCAGCCCTCTGAGCTGTCTCGCCACACCACGGGGGAGCAGGACGGCCGGGAGGGAAGGCCTGAGGCGGCTGGTGGGGAGTGGCCGATGAGAGCACGCCCCGGCTCAGGGAGGCCAGCCAGCGGCCAGCCTGGTCTGGTCTCCAGCACCCCACACTGTCCCCCAGTTCCCTCAGGAGTGAGCCCCGAGCACCCGAGCACTGGGTGTGGCCCCCAAACACGCTGACCCCAAATGGGAAGAGATGTCTGCAACAACACAGCTCCCACGGCTGTCTGCGGAGTCCCATCAGCCCCCTCGGGTCTCAGGGGTACCCAGCTCTTCTCCGTCCCCGCAAGTGTCCCCAGGAGCCCTCCCCGTCGTTCCCACACAGCGGGTCGTCAGAGGAACGTAGCCTTCGCCCCGAGCCTCAGTTCCCATCTCAGCTCTGTCAGTCCGTAGTTGCGGACTCCCGGGCCAGTCAGTCCGTTTCTCCAGACTATGAGTGAGTGATGTCTGGTTGCGCATGGGGAGGAGGGGCGGGCTGGCGGTACTGGGCTGTGCGAGCTGCCCTGGACCACGGTGTCTGCAAGCCTGCTGCGCTGTGCATGTCCAGATGCAGTTTTTGTCTTAAAGTTTGCACCGAGCTCACTACTCCTTTAGAGTTGGGATCCTTTCCTCTCTTCCGATCGCCCATTATGGGTCTTTTATAATTATTTTATTATGAAATGATATTAAGTGAAAAGAAGTTCTCCAGTTACACCCCAAAATATAAAAAGGGTCAGTTTTAATTTTCCGCTATCAAGGCTTCAATCGTCAAGAAGTTTTGTCTTAATTATAAGATTCATTCTTCCTTCCCATCACTGGAATATGTAAAAGAGTGGAGAAGTAATTGCATTGGTTAATAATAGATTATCATTCCTTTTTTTTTTGTCTCTTTCTCTCTCTCTTCGTTTTTTGGGCCACACCTGGTGGTGCTCAGGGGCTACTTCCCCGCTGAGGTGTGGGGTTCCCTGGGCCCCTCCCTGGCCTTGATGGCTCTTGTCGGTGGAGTGGGCGCCCTCGGTGCAGAAGCGGTGCGCTGTGTTGGGGACAGCCCACCTCAGACCGCCCCGTGTCCCAAGGTTCCTTAACGCCATCACTTATATCCTCTTAAAAAAGCTGGCCAAGATAGACGCCGCCAAGTTCATGCTGAGAAACCACACAGTAAGTCTCCGCTCCCCCGACCTCAGGGCTGGCGTGCGGGGGCGGGGCGGGGCCGTGACCCAGCTGCTCTTCCCTCCTGTCAGAGCGAACACTTCCCTTTCCTGGGCATCGGTGACAGGGACGGTCTGAGCGACCTGAGATGCCGAACCACCTTCTACACGGCCCTCACCCGCCTCCTGATGGTGGACCTAGGTAAGGAGCCTGAGGGCGGGTCCGGGTACCGCCCGAGGAGAGAGGGTCGGCGAGCACTGTGCCGCGAGCAGCTGCTGCTGCCCGAGTAACAGTGTCCGCACGGATCTGCCGGCAGTTTTCTCGGGCTTCGATTTGCCTTCTCTGTGCGTCTCAGCACCACCCGATATATCTTTGTGTGCAAGGGGGCTGTCTTTCATTTTTAAACAGTAGCAGCACTAATTCCTGGTTTCATTCATTAAGAACTTTACTCCAAAAATATTTTTAAAAAAAAATTTTTTTTTTTGGTCCACACCTGGCAGTGCCCAGGACTGACTCCTGACTGCACTCAGAGATCACTCCTGGGGGGGCCTGGAGGGAGCCTTATGGGGTGCTAGTGATTGAACCCAGGTCAGCGGCGGGCACGGCAAGCAGCCTACCCGCTACACTATCTCTCCAGACCCTCAAGTTTTATTGTCTGGCTGTCCTACAAGCCACTCATTTTACTGCTATGAACCTAAGAAGGATCTTTGATAACTCCGAAACACACAGGTTTCCTTTGGTGTGGCGTTGTAGTCTAGAGAAGGAAAATTAGAAATGGTGGAAATGCCCACCAAAAAGGAATTAATGGGGGCTGGAGTGATAGCACAGTGGGTAGGGCATTTGCCTCGCATGTGGCCGACCCGAGTTCGATTCCCAGCATCCCGTATGGTCCCCTGAGCACTGCCAAGGGTAATTCCTGAGTGCAGAGCCAGGAGTAACCCCTGAGCATCACCAGTTCAACTTAAAAAAAAAAATAGGAAATTAATGGTCTTGTGGTGTCTCTCCTCACCAGGCGGAATAGTCCACAGTCATTAAAAACTGAGACGTGAAGACGATAAGAGGTGTGAGATTTCATGTTGTGTTGTCTGGTGAAATGGCACGGCGTTGAACTGTGCGGGTGGCGGGGACACCGTGCCAGGAGTGGGACGGAGAATGTATCAACAGAGGACTCACCTGAGGGAGTCTGGAGGTGACTTGGTTGTAGGCCACATACCTGGCATGCGTGAGGCCATGGATTCAGTTCTCAGCACTGACTCCCCTTGCCCCTCCTCCCCCAAAAAATAAAGTGTCCAAGGTGTTTTAAATGAAATCCTTCAGAACGTGGGATGTTGCTTTCAGGTAGCGCCTGTAGGCATCGCTCCTGGCTTCTGAGCACCCGTCATTTCATGCCTCACCTCTGCGCAGGGACAGTAACTTCCTCTGACAGGTCACTGAAACGGTGACATCCCCCTCCCCCCACCCCCGCCGCCCCGGACCTCTCCAGGAAGCACGTCCCACAGAAGGGGCCCCGCCACTGCCCCGTGGTGACCGCAACACTCAGAGAAGGGGCCCTGCACCGCCCTGCGGTGACAGTGGCCCTCTAGAGCCTCCCCGTACCCGCAGCGTCTGGATGCTGCGGGCTGAGCTCTCGGCTCACAGACCAGGCCGGGGCCCGCTTGGAGGATTGATCCTCCTCGCAGGGACACGCAGGACCCTGAATCCTCTCGCCCTTTCTCTTACAACGTACCGGCTGATCCACCACCTTAAAAACGCGAAGCTTTTCGACATGATCCTCCAAAAGGGGTGAGGATGATTCTATTTGGCATGTTAGCAGCCTGGCGCCGGGGCGTGGAAAGGGGGACGGAGACCCCTCTTTGCTCCCGACCCCTCCCTCGTTTTCCTCCATTTCCACGGAATACATGATCAGAAAGACAAACCACCGAAAGGAGAGAGCTGTGCAGGTAGAATGATTAAGGAGCTTTGCGGGATTGATTTCTAAGGAAAGATTAAAAGAACCGTGTATGTATAACTTGGCTAAGTGACAACGGGAGCCGGAGGCAAAGAGAACTGTCTATAAATATTTGAAGAGTGTAAACCAGGCATGCAAAGCCCAATCATCTGCTACCTTAGGCGAGTGGGAGATGGCGCGGAGTGACAGCTCGGCGTCACTGGAGAGAGGAGCAGCCGCCGAGCCTGTGTCACGGTCTCACCGCCCGCCAGGAGCATGGCCTCTCCCTCGGCCAGCCAAGAAGACCTAGCTTTGGAGAGCGCCATCAGTGACTGACCCCGTCAGACTCAGTGAAGGAAACGGGGGCAACCAGAGGGTTCGAGAAGGAGCCAGGAAGAGACTTTCATAGGGGAAAAAAGGTCCGTGTCATGCTCGCCTTCAGCCTGGAACAGAATGAACAGGGCAAGATCTTTTCCCGTTCGGCCACTTCGACAGAAGCACCCCGAGCCCAGGATACATTCGGCCACTTGCAAACAGGACCACGCATGCCCTCAGTGCCCAGTGCCTTGCACACGGCCGACCCGGGTTCGATTCCCAGCATCCCGTATGGTTCCTTGAGCACCGCCAGGAGTAATTCCTGAGTGCAAAGCCAGGAGGAATCCCCATGCATCATCGGGTGTGACCCCAAAAAGCAAAAAAAAAAAAGCCGGGTTCGATTCCTCCGCCCCTCTCAAAGAGCCCGGCAAGCTACCGAGAGTATCTCGCCCGCATGGCAAAGCCTGGCAAGCTCCCCGTGACGTATTCGATATGCCAAACATAGTAACAACAAGTCTCACGATGGAGACGTTACTGGGCCCGCTCGAGCAAATCGATGAACGAAGGGAGGACAGTGACATACATATATATATATACATATATTATATATATGATATAAATTATGGGAGTTTCTGGGGGGGCGGTGAGAGGGCCACACCCGGCAGTGCTCAGGACTTCCACCTGGTTCTGCCCTCAGGGGTCACTCCTGGTGGGACCCAGGAGGTCCTCTGTGGAGCTGGGGGCTGAAGGGGTCGGCCGCACGTGAAGCAAATACCCTGCCAGCTGCACTACCACTCCAGCCCTCAATGGGTATAATTTCAGTTCGGAAATTACATTAGCTTTGTTTGAAAAAAAAAGTGGGGGAGGGGGCGGGGAGAAAAGTCCGTACCGGGGGAGACTGCCCAACTAGAAGAGAAGATGGAACCGTGCCAATCGCAGTAGCCTGGGTGGGGTAGGAGAGGGGCACGCAGAGCATAGCCAGTCAGAAGGGGAGAGACAAATACCAGAGCGACGCAGAGGGAGGATGCAGAGGATGGGCTAGCCAGACGCAAACAAAACCCTTGGTCACTGAACGCAGAGACGGGGTCACTCGGAGGACAGAGGTTCAGTGGACGGCGGTGGAGGGACGCTGGTCCCTGGCGGAGGGGAGGGCGTGCTAACACACGTTTGCACCTGTTCTCCTAAAGCGCCTACAGTCTTACAAAACACTCTTAGCTCAGTGAATGACTGGGGGGACGCGGTCAGGTATCTGCGTACTCCCGGGGAAACTGAGGCTTAGGCGGACCTGCCCCGCTCTGTGAGATGCTGCTGCGGTTGTAGAGGGAGACTGGACACAACCCGGGGACAGCCCTGAAGGTGCTCGCCGAGCGCGGGGGTCACGTGTGGACGGCGGACAGAGACCACCACCCAAGCTGGCACCCTCACGGCGCCTGGGGGTCAGCTCTGCCGGCCAGGGTCTCCCTGGGAGCAGCACCGACACTCGGCCTCCCCCAGGCAGAACGCACCAAGTGGCCGGCTGCTTCCAGCAGGGCTCAGGCCAGCCCGACAGCTCCTGGGGTCTCAGTCCCTGGCCGCCTTCACTCCAAGGCCTTACAGCTCTGCGGGGGATGGCTTGTGGCTGGCCGGACTCAGCTCTGTCACCTGAAGCCCGTCTCACAGACCAGAGTGACCGAGACGTGACTCGGATTTCCCTAGAGAGAGTTCAGGCCTCCCAGGGTCCTGGTGTGGGTCCACCGTTGTGGAAACAAGGGAATGAGAGAGAGTGGTACTCTACGCAAGAGCAGGTCCCTATATGACATGGGGGCGGACAGGGGCGGACGGGGGCAGGGGGTTAGAATATTCGTTAACGAGGCTCCTTCTCATTTAACAAACACCAGTTTGACAGGGAAATTTTTGTAGTGCTGCGGGGGAAGGAGGTTGCTCTTTTGTTTTGGGGTTTGTTTGGTTTGGTTTTTGTAAAGACTCAGAAGAAGAGTACACCTGACCAGCTTGCTTGCCGAAGGAAGCACTGGATGGGATTCTTGGATTGAAATATACAGCGTGTTCTAATTGAATCCTACAAAATAAATTGAATATGTTTTGTATATAAGCCATGCACATTGGAATGATTAGAAAAGGGGAAAGAAATTGGGTGTCACATTAATTGGTATTTACTTTGAAAAGCCTTTTGGTCTCTATTCAATAATCTGTACTTTGTATGAATTTAATTAGATGCTCTGTGCCTCAGGTTGTATTCCAGATGAAAATGGGGCCTTTTTTTTGGCAATAAGCAGTTGTACCATTTTATCAAATTGCTCCTTGGCTAAACTAGACACAGCGTTCACTGCAGAAAGAACCGAAGTGGAAGCATTTCCTCATCAGGGCGGTGACTGCTTCCTGCTGGCTGGGGCAGTTCTGTGTCTGAGTCGCAATCGGGCGCACGGCCCCTCACTCTGCGCGGTGGAGACCGCCCCGTCTGTGCGCGCGCCTGGCCTGCTTGTCGGCCCTCCCAAGAATCACTTAAAGTTCCCTACGATAGTTGTAAATTAGCTTTAGTCAATCTAATAAACTAAAGGAAAGATAGCATTACCCTAGCCCGTAAGTCGAGACCCTCCAGGGAGCTGTTCAGTAGGAAATACTTGAATAATATTTTTTAAGCCTTTTTGTTTTATTTTGTTTTGTTTTGTTTAATTTGAGCGGAGAGGCATGCAGTTGGCAAATCTTGGAGAGGGGATGCATGGGACAGAACTAAACATCTTTAGCAGCAAACTCAGTCTTGACCGGCCACAAGGTCGGGATCGTTTGCTCTGCGAGGGCTCTTTCTTGGAGCCGTTGGCCAGCGCCCCTCACACCGGACTCAGGCCAGGGGCATGTGGGCGGCACCGGAGGCCAGGCGGGGCCTTCCTCAGCCGCTCAGACCCTAAGAAGCCATTGTGTCACCTGCCGCTGCCGCCCCTCCCGGGTCACTGCACCCGAGCAG